GGGGGGGGGGTTACGCAAACGGTGTTGTAACATTCCGCGACAACCTTGTACTAAAGTCGTGCTCCCGTGGCAACTTGGTGCCCATTTTCTGGACTGTTGTTGAGGAGCTTAATTCAGCTACCATAACAAAGGAAGCCACAATATTTACCATGGATCCCGATAATGGTAACTTTCAATAAATTTCTTGGCAAGTACCCAGTTTTTTTGCAATCACGTGCGGCTTTCTTGGAAGCCTGGGCGGTGCTGCTGGAATGCTCTTGGAAATGATGGGTTTGGGTTTGGACTGCTAATGCTCTTTCATTAATTGGGGTCTGCGATAATGCGATGTTTGGGCCCGATTCGGAACATCACACTCAGTGCAGGTATATATAACTAATGTAGGGGCCACAATAATTACCANNTATCATTTTGGGGGTTCCTTATTATGATGGTAGTATAGTATACCCCCAATAAACTGTTCTAATTATTAAGGCCCCTATAGTATACTCTATTCTTCCAGTAGTATCCACTGGTTATCTGAGGGTCTTGGAGATCTCTGCTCGGCACTACTGATTTGGGGCCCTGCACCCTACATCCTCAACACTAAGCCCCCGGTGCCAAGCATGTTGGATATGTATGTATGTATGTATGTAAGTATGTATGTATATACATGTAGATTAGCCTTTCGTTGTGGGCGTTTTCGAAGACAAACATACTCCTACACTGTCTACGGAAAGGATCCCCGACATGACCCAAGACTAAAAGGCACTGTCAGAGTGTCCTCTGCGGTGCGACAAAACTTTCGAGCAAAATACCTAACTTCTCAATCCGCGTCCGAATCCCGTAACCCTAAACTGCAAAGCCCAAATTCTAAAACCTTGAACTTCAAACGCAAACTCCAAAACCTCAAGCTCCAAGGCTTGGACAAGCAACCACCTGAGGCACCGGCCACCGGAGTAGCACCGATGCTCTCTCCAGCTTTGGGTGTATGGTCCTAAGTCGCATATAGCGAGAGAGCCCTACACCCCTCAATTTTAGGGTTTAGGGTTTAGGGTTTCTTACTAGGTTGTCTCTGAAAACTTATTCCTAAACAAGATCCTCTTAAGCCCAATAAGGGAAACTATAGCATAGCCCAAAGGCCCACCTGGTACAACGGCCAACGAGAGTACGGGATCTTGAATCTGATCTACAGCATACAGTATATTCCTTGATTAGTTCCTTTCCGGTGCAGCTTCAGTTAAGAAGTACCTCAGAAGCTATACCATATAGGTCTAGAAGGCCTAAGGTTCCCAATTTGGGGCCTACACTTCCAACCCTAGAAAAACTCGCTACCCAAAACACTGTCATTGCAGTTAGTGCCCTTAATTCAAGAACCCTCATGCTAGAACCCTTTTGAGAGAACCCTTAAAGAAACTCAAAAAGGAATCCCTTAAAGGATCCCACAAAGGAACCCTTAGGGTTTAGGATTCAGCACTTACTTGTCCAGTACCCCAACGGATTCAAAGGTTTAGGGGTCTAGGGTTTAGGGTTCAGGGGTTAGGGGTTAACCCTTTGGGATTATACTGGGATCATAAGATCATAATAATACCCAAAGCGGTGCAAGGCTGCCTACACTACTTCTAGGACCTAGGAGCTAGAGCACTGATGTCTTGCTAAGGGCTTGCGCCTTTGGGTCTCGCTCGACCACGGCACCTGGCCGGCACAGGCGACCGGCAGATACGTTTAGGGTTTCGGGTTGAGGGGTTTGCATAGGAGTTTAGGGTTTAGAGGTTTAGGGGTCTAGGGTTTAGGGCGACTTGTCTTTCATCTGTTTTGTTTCGCAAGCTGCCCTAAACCCTAACCCGGAATCATGAGAAGACCCCTGCTTCATCAAGATCTTTCTTAGAATTCCTGCCCTAAACCCTAAACCCTAAACCCTAAACCCTATGAATTCCTGTTAAGTGAGGGGGGTTCGCGAATGATGGATCTACTTTAAACGAAGTCGCCAAGCAAAAGCAACGATGATGACCACCAAGACAGTATCAGTTACAGTCCAGAAGCAGGAACTGGCCCGCAACCCCAATTAAAGACTGGGTTCTTGTCAATTTATATATATATATATAGATATGTATATATATTTCTGTATATATATATATATACATGTATGTGTTATCATAACAAGGAATCCATCTTACGCACTTGCTCGAGGTACTTATTGCGGTAACCTGCACTAGGCTTCTTATCAAGAAAGCACAAAAAGGTTCCTCAGCTGCAGTTAGCTTCTCAAACAGAAAGGGGAACCACGACTTTCAGATTCTAAGCTACCTCAGCACAGAATAATTAGAATAGGGTTCTTATTAAGGGTTTATAAGGTTTTACTAAGAATAAGTACAAGGGTTAGCATAATTCTAAGGGTATAGACGGTATAGAGTATCCTAAACCGCCACAGATCGGATTTCTAGGCGGCTTCGCGGAATGGAACTGCTTTGCTGCATTTGGCGGGCTCAGTATCCAAAACGAAAGAAAAACGACGTAAACATTTAATTTCATAATGCTTCCTTAAGCATCAGGTCCGAAAAAACAAGCAGTAAACGTGTAGCATTCCAGAACCCCACAGTAAAGATTCTACGTAGGCCCAGAAGCACCCGATGGAACCCTGGGTTAGCCCTTTAAACAAACATCCGAACAATCGAAAAATTCTAAGGTTGAAACCATGGGCCCCGAGTATGGGCCCTTAACCCTGGGACCCTTATATGCCTACCCTATATGGACCCTAGAACCCCCTAAGGACCCATATTAGGGGCCCACGCTTCTAACTTTAGAGACATGAGTGAAGGTTCTGCTGGGCCGCCGGAGAGGATGGCCGAAGTCAGTAGACTACCGTCTGCAGCGGAAACTCGCTAAACCCTAAACCCTCAACCCTTCTCTTCTTTTCCGGGTCGCTTCCGCAAGGGCTGAGGTGTTTGGGTCCGGAGTTTTAGTAGGGCTTCGAATTTAGGTTCTTAGGGTGGTCGTTCTCGCTGTTGCTATGAGAGCAGGTCCCTAGCCTAAATTCCTAAATGATGGTGCCTCATCATCGGGTAGAAGACGTTAAAACCTTCCATGCCATCCGCATGAACACCACCCTCCGCTCCTGGTGGAAAAATTAGTAAGAGAACGTTGGTGGAGGGTTTACACAATAATTGACACCAACATCCCTTTCTTACTGTTGTTAAGTCTTCTATATTCCACTCGCCAAGCTTCCAATACCTACTTCATACGAGAAAATCATGGCATGAAGATTTCGGGTTAGAGTTTCGGATTTTGGGTTTAGTGTTTCAGGTACACTTACATTAACCGTACTTCATCAGTAGGAGCCTCATCGCGCTCCCAGTCGCGTCGCTCAAGAGCTTCTAGTGAGGTGTCATCTTCGCCAGCATGAGCTCCTCCAGAGTCAGTTTCTGTTCTCGCGCTGATAACTTTCGCCGGCCATCGACAAGGAGCCGCTTTTCCAGGTCTCTTTCCAGCAGCGCTTGCGTCGCCTGCGACCGAGCCACGGTCGCGGGAGTCACAACTGACAACGACGACGCGCGCGCGCGCGCCGGACAGCTCCGGATTCTCCAGAGTTTCGACGACAACCCTAAACCCTAAACCCCGAAACCCCAAACCCTAAACCCCTAAACCCTAGACCCTAAACCCTTACGCCGGGCGAAGCCACGACCGTTCGACACCGGGTTCTCGGAGACATTCTTGCCAGTCCTCGAGGTTTTCCACGAGAACGTCGAAGAGACCCGGCCTCATTTCCAAAGGGTTCGTGGCCAACTCGTACTGTAGGGGCCTCAATAATTAGAATAGGGTTTTGGGGCCCTTGATAATATAGTTACAATTAGAATAGGGTTTTGGGGCCCTTTATAATATAGTTATAGAAAAGGAACCCCCAAAACAAGATTGGTAATTATTTTAAGCCCCTGCAGTAGGCGGTCGGTGCGTGCCCGGGCCAGAATCCCAGCGTCGCCTCCGAGGTTCTGCTTCTCTGCTTTTTCTTCTTCTCCCCGGCAGCTCCCCCCGAAGAACTCCAAAACCCCTGCAGGAATCATGGGACTTTAGTAAGGAAGGTTATAACTACCTTAATTGGGGTTTTTAATTAGTTATAAGCACAGTTACTTTATATATATAACCCCAGTTACTAAGTCCCATGATCCTCCAAGTATGAACTCTCAAAGGAACCCTCAGCCCCTAAACCCTAAACCCTAAACTCTAAACCCAACCCCTAAACCCTAAACCCTAAACCCTAAACCCTAAACCCTATGAACCCTCAAAAGGAACCCTTCCACCCGACCTGCAGAAGGCTCGCCGGCCTGAGATCTGAGGTTTCAGGGGCTCTTCAGGATCACTGGGTTCAGGGTTTAGGGTTTAGGGTTTAGGGTTTAGGGTTTAGGGTTTATTTAAGTTACCATAATAGGGATCTATAATAAATAATACGGTTTCCTTATTGTCGCAACTTAAATTAAATCCCTTAACAAGAACCCAGATCAGTGTGGCGAGACATTTACAAGCGACATATAGAATGGTCTTAAGGGACTCTCTAATGGGGCGAGATACTAAGCGCTGAATCAGTGCTCCGTTCGGTCCGTTCCTCAGGACTTTTGGGTTTTTGTCCGATCACAGGACATACCATGTAACACTGAGTGCTCCCCTGACGTCCTATGCGAACGTGCGCTGCGCTTGCTGGCAGTTGCCGCAAAGTCCCGATAGCTTCCGGTGTGGAGAGGGCATCTAGAATAGGGGCTCCCGATTTGGGGAGATCTTACATCAATAGTCCATGTCTTGAGGATCTATGTTGGGCCGCTATCTTTGCTGAACCTACAACACTCCGGAAGTTGCAAGCAGGTATGGGCGAAAGTCCTCAAAAGATCGACGCTGAAGCTCAACTCCCAGCGGTTTGGGCTTGCACCCTACTCCGCCCAAGCCAAAAGGTTGTTTTTCAAGCGAACCAGTTCTTTCTTAAGGTTCTTTGTTTCATTTCTGTCTGTACCTTTTTGGTTATATACCCGCACCAAGGTACCTACACGCACACCTATAGTATCTCTGCTGCATGACAACAATGGGCATGCGCAAGTCACCAACAAAATCTGATACATCCTGATACCTTACACTTAAGACACAGGTACATGGAAATAGCACCTAGGAATCCGATACCTTGAGCACGGAATCCCTAATTACCCCAATTCGGAAACGGTGAACCCTAAGCCCTAAAAAGCCCTCAAGTTCGTAGCAGCTCTACAACCAAATCCTGCCCTCCCTGAAAACTCCTCAACCCCGTAACCGCACCAAAACCCCAAACCCGGGACTGCGCCACGCTGAAGTAACCAGAGAGGAAAAAGTATAGACGATTCTTTCATAATCATAATGGTTCCTTTAAGGAACGGGTCCAAAACAAGAAGTATTCAAGTATGATACTCCAGAACCCTAAACCCTAAAGGGTGTGGCGGAAGCTGTAGCTGGGCGCTCCGACATTGAACGGCAAAGGCGGCCTGTCCAACGCCAGGGCTACTGTGGAAGGGTTCCTTTAAGGATTCCTTCAAGGGTTTCTATTAGGAGTCTACCATAGGGGCTATAGTAGGATAATACAAGCCCCCCAAAAAACTTAAAGGTTACCTGCTCAGCCCCCAAGCTACAAGAGGTTTAGGGTTTAGGATGTTGGGCTTACGGCTTTGGGTTTCATTTCATACTAGGAAATACAGGGATCTGCAGAATTGATACGGGTGTCACTTCACAGTTCCTGTGGAGTTATGCCATGAAATCCACGATCTAAGCGGGTTTTCACACCGAAGCCAGACTCGAATTATTAGGGCCCTATGCAAACCCTGAAGCCTGAGTATGTCCAGGATCGACTCTTGGCTGAGAATACACTTGCTTCCGCAGACTTCCACCGACATGTCACCAACACCAAACGCACTGTTCTGCTCGGAACGCTGCCACATGGTCTTCAGAAGGAAGATCTCGAAACTCTGACATGTATGTATGTATGCATGC